CACACACACACACACACACATACACTCATACACACAATCATACACACAATAACACACACACACACACTCACACACACACACACACACACACACACACACACACGCACGCACACTCCCACACACACACACGAATAAACAAAAGCCTTCAAACTTGCAGAATTCATTTCTTCTCGCTCCGAGGTTTATTTGGACAAACGTTCAAGAGATTTTCGCTCAGCGTCTTCTGTGGTACACACCACATATAATATACTCCAGTACGAAAAATTACTTCAAAAAGAATTATCATAATAAGCAATTAATTATTCTATCACTCTCCTTTTTCATTGTTCGTATCAACCCTATCCGTACGCCTGGGGTCATTTTGTACCCCCACGGGTTGTATTCGTCACATTTTAGATTATTTTTAGTGCGAAGATCTCTTTGAAACTTTCAGTATTTCTCAGAAAAATCATTTTGACATACTGCTATGCAAAGCGTACGGATCGGATTAACGAGTAAATTTCCTCTTTAGAAAGTGGCGGCACAGAGTTCCCCACGCCGTATGTATACGATAGTAAAACACGACGTACGGATAGGGTTAAGTAAGTGCTTTCGATGACAAGATGTGAAGGATATATAAGCAGAACCATCATATAAAGATAACGGAGATTCTTTGACCCCCATAAATTGATCAAATGGACAAGAGAAGCTGCTGCTGTGTGGAAAGATAGAGGGAAAGAAGATCAGAGGAAGACAAAGAACAACATACACAGATGGCCGGAACAACTTAACGAAGATTAACACAAAGAGAAAAACCGAGCTAATCAGAAAGACAGACAACAGGAAGGAATGGGGTACCATGATCGTCAATGTCTGCTCCAGACCTGACAGTCAGCCGAAGAAGAAGATCAAACTTATCTGGCACACCAATTATCACAGACAGGCAGAGAGAGAGAGAGAGAGAGAGAGAGAGAGAGAGAGAGTGCTCTTCTCGGCTCGGTTGCCTCTCCCCAACACCAAGGTGAAAGAGGCGACCGTTGATGATGCCCCCTGGTCACAGCTGGTACTTGTAGACAGTCCTGTAGCCAGCCATGTACCGGCCGTACTGCTCCTCGAAGTGTTGGTTCATCGCCACTGTGAACCAGTTCTTCCAGTCTCCGACTTCACCTGCAGCAGGCAAGTTTATGAAATAAAATAATATCCACTAATGATTGAAGACCCCAGGGGGAAGAACGAGGTAAATTACAATTTTGTCTAGGTTATCTTAAGTTTTGGCCGTAATTTTGCTAGGCTTATTAAGTAAAGAAGCCGAACTATTGTGCTCTGAGATTTTGAGGAAGTAAAACTTCATCGAAGCTTGGAAGCGTAGAGGAAAGTAAAACTTCATCGAGGCTTGGAAGCGTACAGGCAAGTAAAACTTCATCGAGGCTTGGAAGCGTAGAGGCTCTATACATGCTCTTGGAAAATCAAGTGCCTATGGTTTTGTTTAAATTTTTTCAGACTTTAGTCCTTCAGCTACATTCACTATTCACTATTCAATAATCAATATTCACTATTGAGTATTCACTATTCAATATCCATTATTCGGTATTCACTTCAATTATTTACTATTCAATATCCAGTATTCGGTATTCACTATTCAATTATTTACTATTCAATATTCACTATTGAGTATACACTATTAATTCAATATATACACTATTCAATATTCACTATACATTATTCATTATTCAATATGCACTAATCAGAAGGTGCTTTTTAATTGAGCTCTCAATAACACGCAGACCATGGGATACCACGACCGTAACATCACCATTAACAACGATTCGAATTTCGAATAGACTGGGAAGGGGGGGGGGGGGGGGGG